TCCTCCAGCCAATTTGTGAAGTCAAGGATGAGGCATCGAGGTGGATTTGTGGCAAACACTGCAAGCAGTTGCAGGGAGGGAGGGCTCCAGCCTATAGTGACCTATCGCTGAGCACCCTGGATGCAGAGTTGGCTTCATGATGGGCATATCTATTTGCTAACGTGAGGATTTGGATTGAGCAGCTGGTGCTGAGTAAGGCTGGTATATGGCATTAAACTTAGAACTCAAGAGCACCAAGGTGGCTTGCACATCACAAGCTGTCCTGTGAAGATCCTCACACCACACTGAAAACATGTCCATTAAATAGCTGATGAAGAATCTCTGAGGCTTGGGACAATAGCTGCTGGAATGCATTACCTGGAGCCCATGTTTGTGAACACATGTTCATATATATAGGATTTGGAATCCAAATTGATTGGTTTGCAGAGAGGTAAGCAGTTGCTGCTCACCTTCAACACCTAGTGGAACTACCATTCAGTGAGTAAGGATGTGTGTCTGAGCTGTGAATAGGAAGATGGTGGCAATGCTCTCACACATTTCATGAAAAATATAGCTCAAAATAGAGCTATCCCAAATTCAAAACAAAAGTCTGGCAGGATTGCTGGTGAGCCAGAGGAGATAAATAGGGAGTTTGCTACATACTGTTCTCAGCTGCATGAGTCAGAAGCTGAGGAAAAGCCAAAGAGATGGCAAACTCTGAACTCGCTTTCCTTTTCGTCACTTGCACAAGATTAAGCAAATGTTTATAATCTCTCAAATCACAAGGAACTCTACATAGTTATGAGGGATCTTCAGTCTGGGAAGATTTTAGGAACAGATATCTTTCCACCCAAGTTCTGCAAACTCCTTTTCCTTCCTGTGCTTGTCCCCTTCCTATTAAAGCTGCACCACCTGAAGTGGGTAGACTTCGCAACAGTTTAAATTTTTTGGTCAGCTGGGTGTCTGACATGTGCAGAAACCCATCACTATGCTTAAGAGTATCCAAATGAAACTGGGAGTTCCATGCATCCCACCTACACATGGAAATTACTAGCCTGTACCTAATTCTAGAGAACATTAGGCGAGCAAAAGGCTGGCATTAGGGACATCAGATTGTGCATTGGGGTACTGCTGGTGTCTAACCAGCTAAACCCGCACAGCTTGCCATCAAACACTCTATCTGCAAGCTTTCCCGTTGCTTTTCTAGCTGGGACTAGCTGACCCATTAGACATTTGGCTTTTAGGGTTGCCGGGAGCTGAGTGGGAAGAATCCCTGCCCCAGGGACTGGTCTGCCCCTCCAAGTCCTAATGATGAGGCAGGCTAACTGGTCTGTCTTCAGCAGTGCCGTGGAATACTCCGGTCCCACCTGACTCAGGAACCGGACTACCAAGACTAACTCAGAGGGTTGACTCGATTCTGACATTCCTTTGTCAAATATGTCACCTCGGAGCCAGTTCAGTTCAAAGGAAAGCCCACCTCCTCCCCCGAGGAGGATAGTGATGGCAGCATTAATCTTATTAATTCAGAAATCTGGCAAAAAATATATATTTAACGTTCACCCGAACAAGGACCTTGGTTTAACATTGTATTCCAAATGATGGCCCCACCAACAGCCCTGGCGTGTCCCTCCCAGATTTGTTAAAGGAGCCATCATTTGGATGCTCTCCCAGCCCAGTCCTGGAGTACCAACCTACATTGTGAATTCAAAATTGTGAGATCGTGCTTGAACCCACACGCTTCTGACTCCGAGACAAGAGAGAGACTAACTGACAATGTCAAGAGAATTGCTAGAATTGTTTGCAGTGTGACATTTTACTTTCATGGGCAGTATTCAGTAGCACTAGTATCTCCAAAGTGTTGTCACTTTAAGGAAGATGGTGGCAATGCTCTCACACATTTCATGCTGAGCTGTGTTGCCCACCAAGAAGCTCACAGGGAGTTCCTAGTACCTGCCATCCACTTAGTGAGGCCTCAAACCTACAACTGTCAGATGTCAAATGACCAATTGGTGACTTTCTTCTGGTTGTAGGAGAGGGGGGTTGGGGTGGTGGTATATAAGTGGAGTTTTGTTGGAGCTGCATTGGCTCAATTCTTGAGCCAGGGATTCCACATTAAGACACTGCTGATAACAGACCAGCCACGCTGGTTCTTGTCAGCCTGCGGCAAATACTCGCCGTAATTAGGTAAGCAGGATGCATCCCTCCACGGAGAGAGCGCACATTCCTTTCCAATAAATGGGCATTTACATTTGTCAGTAGGATGTGTTTGGAACTCTCAGTCTGGTTTGGATTCTCCTAAGCATGGTGATGGTTTTGTGCATGTGTCAGATACCCGGCAGAATAAAAAGATAATGTCCTTGACTTTATCATCTTTAAGTTATTTTGACTCCATCATTCAATTATGTGTTCTTCCAGAAGGTTGTCAGTCTATGGAATGATTTGCTGGGGGTGGCTGTTAGAGCAGAGATTATTGGGAACATTTAACAGTCAATTAGACAAATACATTCAGAGGAAAGGTATCAGAGGATGCAAGGGAGAGCACCAAACTTGGGAATTTTCCTGCGTCTGTGTGGACTGTTTGGCAAGCTTTATACCTCCTGTCCAAACCCTGATTGGTAGGGCTTTGGCTTGCAGGGGTAACAGGAGCTAAATGGGAAGAATCCCTGCCCTCAGTTGGGATTGTCTTCTTGGAAGAGAAAACATGAAAAAATGGGTTGATAAGTTTCTCTTATGTTGTACATTTCTAAGTGTGTTAGCCGGGTTCAGTGGTAGCACTCTCACCTCTGAGTCGAAACATTGTTGGTTAAGGTGCTCAGAGATGTATATCTCTATGTCACAATAAGGTGCTATATCAAATGCAAGGATTATTAATATTATTATTATGGCTGTATACCAATGCTAATATTTTCACTGGCTGCATGTACATCTAACGTTGTATTCCAAATGCTCCTTTCACTAAGATAAATATATTGGCACATATGCACAATCCATATTACTGTGTACAGTCAACATTTTATTTTCTCGTAGAAATACTTTAAAAAAAATGTGGTCACTCAATCCATGACTGTTTGTGGGACACTGCTGTGCACAATTGGCTGCCATGTTTCAGTCACAAAATGTACAGTCAATTCACTTTACAGTATATTATGTGAAGCGCTTTGAGACATCTATCTCAAAGACGTGATAAGGCACTATATCAAATGCAAGGATTATTATATTATTATCAATATTTTATCACCATTTGTATGATTTTTAAAGCACTGTCCTCAGCTACTTCATAAAGAGGCACAACTATGCGCTGACCTACATTCCCCTAAAGTATTTCCTCCTACTTTCTATCTTAAATGACACTATCCTCCTAAGGGGTAGGTAAAGCAAGGTCTGCTGAGCTGAGCTGGCTGCAAGGTGACATGTTTGGTAATGGAATATCACAATCAAGTCAATCCTCTGTGTCAGTAGTGGCAGTCTGGGTAGTCCGGTTCCTGAGACAGACAGGTCTGCAGTACTCCAGAACACTGCTGATGGCAGACCAGCCAGAGTGACTCATTGCCAGGACTTGGAGGGCAGACCAGGCAAGAATTCTTTGTATTTAGCCCTGTTGATCCTGCAAGCCAAAGCCGTAATGGGTAGGATGATCCCAGCTGGACAAGCAGGGGGAAGCTTGCCAGACATGTACAATCCATTCCAGACGAGGAAATTTGAACCCGCATACATAAATGGTGGGCGAAAATATTCTTTTGGCGGGGGGGAAGGCGGGAGGGCTGAGTAAACCTTAATACTGCTGCGCTCAGGAACATTTCAAGTCATTCAGAATTGTGTGATTTATAGTTAGAGCCCTGTATTTTGGGCACATACGAAATAACACTAAATAAAACAAAAAGCAACATATAAAACAAAAATGAAACAAAATACATGATTATAAAACAAACAGGAATAAAGTTAAAAATTAAAGTTAAAAGGTCGGTCCCCTTTAAGATAGGCAAGCCTTTGGCTTGTCTGACAGCTTCATTGACCAGTATTTTTTGGCAAGGACACCTTGACGAGCAGCCCACTGGACTGAAAGTGGGCAGGTACCGCCGTTGAGTTGGGAGAGGGGCAAGAAAGGGGCTGTGGGTGCCACGGATTGGGGCTGCTTGGAGAGCTAGCCTTGGTCCTCCTCAGGGCTCAAGGTTTTTCCTTCCCAGCTCCCCTTGAATCTCTTCTTCATGTCAAATCTCCCTCAGCAAAAGCAATGGAAGGAAGCCAGGACCTGTTTGAATGGGGAGACATTACACTGCAAGGCTGCTGGCTTTGGCTGTTGGCCAGTGTATAGTGCACATTTTATGCCAAAACTAGAGCAAAGTGGTGAGCTGGTAGATAGATTGAAGGGTGGGACTGAGCCCCTCTCGCCCTCGCCGCCCACCCACCGCCTATGCCCATGGGTGGGATTCAAATATGGAACTCTCAATCTGGTTGTGAATACTAATAACCATGGTGATGGACTTCTGCATGTGTCAGACCCCAGCTAACCAAAACAAAAGATTCCCAATTAACCTCTCTGCAGCCATAACTCACCTCTGACTGAGTAAATACTGTTCAGAGGAACAACCCCCTGCCCACATTCTACTGTGTTGCCTTTAAATGGAGGAATATACACATAATATTTAAAAGGGCGAAGGATGGATCAGGGCTTGCAAATGACTGGTGGCTTTGCCATTCATAGACTTACTGGTCTGAACCACCTCTTGCACTTCATGACAACTATTCATTCTTCAGAGAGCATATTTACCTGCTACTTGTTTGTTGTTCCATCAAAGGAAAGGTGAACGACTGCTGCTTAAGTGAACCAATATTTTGATTCCCAGATTACACTAAATTCTCGAATTAATTTGAGACGATCAAAAGGATTAACCGTCTTAAGGACAGTGTTTTAAAACCTGAAGGTGCTATTAACCGAGGGACAGGCACGCTCTGAGCTGGGAGCAGATTTGCACAGAGGAGATGAAAATAAATGATGCCCAAAACGGTTAAGCTCACTGTACCTCGAGTGAAGTGCCGGGTTTCTTCTTTAACTCCTCGCATTTCCGTAATTTACAGATTTGGTGGCCAGTTTTACGGTTCCTGCAGCTGCTGCATTCTCCACAGTTGATCAGCCTCCTGCAGGGAGCGCACACCCCGCACCTTTTCCTTTTCTTTTTGGCAGGGTGGCCGCAGCCTCCCGTGGCATTGTGCAGAGGGCAATCTGTCAGGTTGGCGATCTGAAAGGCACTGTCTGACATCGCTGCGAGAGCTGCAGGGGAATGCAGGGCTGTCATGATGATGATCCCCGGAGGTAATGATATGCCCCCTAGAGCTGGAAATGCAGAGAAAGCCCCAACACGTTCCCGGAGAGCCATTATCTCAGCGTCGGAAGAAGTGCACTTAGGCTCATTCGGGCAATCTCCTGCTGACGTCTTGCTGGGTTCAGGAGATGAGGGAGCGACTGGATCATTATGCACTATTTGCAAAGTCTCTGGCAGTCTGTCAATCTTGTCTGCCCCCTGGGAGTCATTTATATGCATGTGGGTCTTATTAGAATTTATTGCGGCTGATTTCCTTCCCAGGAGCACGGCAGTGTCATTATTCCAAAGTGATCCACCTAGTCTGGCATTAGGAAACAGAGACGTGGTTGTTGGTGAAATCTTTGCTGTCTGCTTCGGTGAGAGGTTTGTTTTGCTGCGGTTTGCAGAGAGCCTGTAGCTTTCATTGTCTGAGTCTGAATCCACCACGACGATGCTAGGCTCATCCTTTTCCTTACCGTTCTGGTGGAAAGCAGCGGGCTGTTCCTTGCAAGCATTCCCAGTGCAAACAGGACTGCTTTCACCAGACATTGCTGTGCCCCAAACAAAGTGTAAAGCACAGTGATAAACAGCAGCGTGACAGAGCTCGCACTGAGTCAGGGACCTTCCCTTCAGCTTTCGTGCACAACACAATACTGCTGTTGCTAATCAAGCAGATCTGGTCAGATTTTCAGTTTATTACATCCTCTTTCTCATTTTCTTATTAAAGTCAAGCAAGCTTCTGGTACCACTGAAACAAAACACACACAATATAATGTTAAAATTGAAAGTAAGCATTAACTGAATGCGTGAGACAGACAATATGGCTCACCATTGTCCATTCATGCACTCAGCAAAAGCGTTTGAATCGCTGGCAATTCCCAAACATCCTGTTACTCGGTAAATTAACTTCATTTATTTCAAATATGTTCTATTTCAGATAGCCTCATAGCTCTAATAGATTTGTCCAAGAAAATCACGAGTTGGATGTGAGCTGCAACCTCATTTGAACTGACCTGATTCAATGTTCCCCCCTCCCCCAGATTCTTGGCTGGACTGCTTATAAACCCTGAGCAACTGTGCTGTGCTGCCTCTGCAGAGGAGGGTGGGAGATATAAAGCTGGTGGACATGCTGTATAAAGCTGCTGATGGTGAAAACAGCATATGTGGCAACATTCCCATCACTGGGACCTAAGGTGTGGAAGTGCACTTCCTACTGGCCAAATAACGAGTAAAAAACACACGGGAAACAGCTGCAAGGTGAACAAAAGCAAAGCAGAAGTGGGAGCATGGAATTCAATTCCATGTAATCAGACATTTGGAGTAACACCTTTATCATGCTCTTAAGTTTATATAGCTTTGCATACTCCATGTAAACAGAGGATAATTTATACGTTAAATAAAAGGGGAGAGAAGTGGAAAGGGACACAGCAGCAAATCAAAACATAACCCCCCAAATTCTTCCAATATCACAACAATAAAGAGGTAATCAGGGAAGACATTAAGATCCTGGGGAATTCAAATGGGGTTGAAAACAAGAATACACATGAGATAGCAAACAGATTAAATGACTACTTCCTGGAGATTTTTAACCAGGGTGGACATTAAAAACATACTCCCCAACAGCCAGCAAACATTGTTGGAGCTCCAGGACTTTAATAAAAGTGAGGGTGGGATAGTGGATATGAGTTTAAAACTAACAAATCCCAGGGGTACTTAGGGAGACAAGTCAGGAGATTTGTGCAGGACCGACATATTATGAAGGAGTTAATCAGGACTGGGGAGGTTCCAATAAATTAGATTGAAATGTTGTTCTCATATTCAAGAAGGCTGACAAAACTAAACCTGTCAAATATAGACCCATTAGCCTGACCTCAATAATAGGAAAAATAATGGCTTTAATCATCAGAAAGGCAGTGGAAGATTACCTATATAAAATAATCTAATGAAGAGGAAATACACGTACTGAATGAACGGCTTCTCCTCCCGCTCTCACCCGGTTGCCTGCGGGGTACCCCAAGGGTCCATCCTTGGCCCCCTCCTCGTTCTGATCTATATGTTCCCTCTTGGGGATGTCATCCGCAGACATGGGGTACATTTCCACATGTACGCAGACGACACCCAGCTCTATTTTTCCACCTCTCTTTGCGACCCCCAGTCCCCTGATGTTCTGCCAGTCTGCCTGTCAGATCTCAAGGGCTGGATAAGCCCAAATTTCTTTCAGCTGAACGTTGACAAGACAGAAGCCATACTCTTTGGCTCTCATCAACATCTAAAATCTCACGGCTCTCACCTCCACCACCTACCCGACCTACCCCTAAAACTCTCCGAACCCTTACGCAACCTAGGGTCAGGTTCAACCCCAATTATCCTTCCTTCCCCACATCCGGTGCACCTCCAATGCATTGCCTTCCTCCGCCAATATCTCTCTCCGAAAGCCGCTGAAACCCTAGTCCATGCCTTTGTCACCTCTTGGCTGGACTATTCTAATGCCCTCCTCGCCGGTCTCCCATCCACTACCATCCATAAAATCCAGATCACCTCAGTCCTTGCCAGATTGCACTGGCTGCCTGTCCCAGAGAGGATCGACTTCAAGAAGGCAGAAGCAGAACTGTCCTTCACCCACGACAACTTGGTCTTGGACTTTAATGGTTTCAACCGCGCATTTTTTTCTTTATCGATTTCAAGATCCTCACCCTTGTATTCAAGTCCCTGCACTCTTCTGCACCTCCCTATCTCTCTGAACTCCTCTCTCCTCAAAACAATACCCGTTTACTTTGTTCCTCCGGGTCTGGCCTCCTCCTCGTCCCCTGAGTCCCCCGCTCCACCCTCGGCAGCCGTGCCTTCAGCCACTATGCCCCGAGGCTCTGGAATTCGCTTCCTCACTCCCTTTCTCTCGTTCCCTCCCTTCCCATTTTCAGGTCTCGGCTGAAGACCTTTCTTTTCGACTGCGCCTTTGGTCACCTTTCTCCCCCTCCTCCTGGCTCGGTGCCAGGATCCGTTATTGTGAGGCGCTCTGAGACGCCGTCTGGCGTGGAGGGCGCTATATAAATCCAAGTTGTTGTTGTTGTTGAATGGGATAGAACTTGCCAAGGGAGAAACTGAAAGAGTTCTAGTTTACTTGTAGCTCATTGTGTCAAAACAATGTGAAGCAGCAATAAGCAAGGCAAATAAGATGCTGGGCTATATTGGTCTGGATGNAAAAAGGCCCTTCGGCACATTGAATCTCATCCCTCCAGAACACCCACCATCCCATCCCATCCCTGCATTAAGCTGCTTTTTAAATGTGCCTAGTGTTTTAACTTCTCCCATCCTTCCTGGTAACCTGTTCCAGTTGTTGATTGTCCTCTGAGTAAAGAAAAGCTTCCTGGTATCTGTCCTGAAATTGCCCTTTACAGCTCTAAACCTATGTTCTTATGCTCTACGGTCTTGTTGCATCCTGAGTGGGTTTACTTTTTCAATCCCATTTATAATGTTACACACCTCAATGAGACTCTGGCCCCCTGCTTGCCCCTCGTCCCCTCTGCTCGACCATCAACAGTCATGCTTTCGAAACTTTGGAACTCTTTCCCTCAATTCCTCCATCTTGCCCCCTCCTTCCCCTCTTTCAGATCATGGCTGACGACCTTCCTCTTTGACCGTGCTTCGGTCACCCCTCCATCTCCACAGATCGGCTTCAGGCTCTGCCACTGTTAGGAGCTCTGAGACACTACCCAACATGAAGGGCATTATATAAATGCAAGTTTTTGTTGTTGTTGTCCCCTCTGAATCATCTTTGCTCAAGACTGAAGAACTTTACAGCTTGTCTAATCATTACTCATAGCTCATTCCTCTAAAGCTGGGGATCATCCTCGTTGCTCTCCAATACACTGCCTCGAGAGTTTGGGCAGCTACTGTTATGTTGCAGAGTCCAGGACTGGATGCAGTATTCAAGGTTGGGTCTGACCAGAGCATTGTACAGCCTGAATAAGATATTTAGGGATTTAAATTCAACTGATTTATCAATATAACCATTGTATCACTTTAATTATCCTAACATAGACTGGGAAGAAAACAGTGTAAAGGGCACGGAGTGGGTAGAATTCCTAAAATGTGTACAGGAGAGCTTTCATGATCAGTATGTTTCCAGACCAACGAGGAAGGAAGCAGTGCTGGATCTAGTCCTGGGGAATGAAGTGGGGCAAGCAGAGTGGGTTACAGTGGGAGAGCATCTGGATAACCATGATCACAATATCACCAGGTTTAGAGTACTTATGGAAAGGGATAAGGAACAACAAAGGTGAAGATACCCAACTGGATGATGGCTACTTTCAGAGACTAAGGAAATTGGGATTAAAATGAAACAGAAAAAGGAGACTTACTATAAATGTCAGATTCAAAATACACTGGAGAATCATACAGAATACAGAAAGTGCAGAGGAGAACTAAAAAAGGAAATAAGAGGGGCAAAGAGAGCATATGAGAAAAGATTAGCAGGGAACATAAAAGGTCTCCTATAAACATATAAAGAGTAGAACGATGGTCAAAGGAAGGGTGGGGCTGATTAGGGACCAAAAAGGAAAACTTATTGTGGAGGCAGAGGGCATGGCTGAGGTATTGAATGAATACTTTGCATCTGTCTTCACAAAAGAGGATGCTGCTAATGTCACAGTAAAGGAGGAGGGGGGTAGAGAAATTGGATAAGATAAAAATAGATAGAGAGGAGGTACTGAAAAGTTTACTTGTGCTCAAAGTAGAAAAGTCACCTGGTCCGGATGGGATGCATCCTAGGTTGCTGAGGGAAATTAGGTTGGAAATAGCAGAGGCTCTGGCCACAGTCTTTCAATCGTCCTTGGATATGGGAGTGATGCCTGAGGACTGGAGTGTTGCAAACGTTACACCCCTGTTCAAAAAAGGGGAGAGGGATAAACCTGATAACTACAGGCCAGTCAGCCTAACATCGGTGGTGGGGAGACTTCTAGAGACCATAATCGGGGACAAAATTAATCATCACTTGGAAAAACATAAGTTAATTAATGATAGTCAACACAATCACTACAGCTTACAGAAAACTATGAATCATTTTGGGATGTTTCGAAGTGATAAAGTGCTATATTAAATGCAAAGATTATTATCAGAAATAAAAGAAAAAGATAAATGTAGCCCATCAATACTAAACTGGTGCTAACTGATTTCCTGGAGCTATTTATTCTAATTCCAGTTCCCTGGTTTTTCCCCAAACCTATTTATATTCCTTTTCAAATGTTTATCCAAATCCCGTTTTAAACGTTGTTATGGTCTCAGTCTCAATAGCCTCTTCTGACAGATTCCATGTTGGAGTCCTGAAGTTTAGTTGTTAGAGCACTCGCCTCGCAAGCGAGAGACCTGGATTTGATTCCCGAGCAGGGTGAAATGATGGGCAAGTTCCCTTACCCAATATGCCACTGTTTACCTAGCAGTAAGTAGCAACTTGGTTTTTAGTTGATTGGCAGATCGCTTTTCTGGGGGTAATAACCCCTTCAAAATTAAAAAAAATTATAATTTGGTCACTCAATCCACGACTAAACAGGGAC